GATTGTTTCACAAAATGACAATTCTTGGGAAAATCTTTTTGAGTCGAAGCTTCTTTTTACATTTGGAACACGGAGGAAATGAGGATGATTGGACTCCGTGGAAGTGGCAAGTCGATTACTAGTGTTGGAGTGCTTTTTTAAATAATCGAATAGACGTTTGTTTGCATGGTTCCTACTGAAATACGGTTCCTACTCTGTCATCTGTTTTTGTCATTTTCTTTGGATTAATCTGCGTCATTTACTTATGATGCATTTTATACTCTTGACTCTTTTTCACAACAGAAAAAAGTTTGTTTTTATTTTATCAATTTTCGTTTTTCGCTGTGATGTAAGTGGTTTGGATGTAGTTATTTTCGCTTCCATGACCAAAGATTTTATTTCGCTTTTTAGGTATCCTCTGCGTTGTCACGAGTAGTTTTTTTTTTGTTTTTTTTTTTCCAGCGATGTCATTTATTTGTCTTCTAAATTAGAATATTTTTTTAACTTGTTTCAACTATTCAAGGTGTCATGACAAATTAGTAAGTCTTTTTTGTGGCAGAATGAACAAAGTTTTTGATTACTGTTGCTGATGTTCCTTTATGTTGCTTTCGATAGAAAACACCACAGCATGAAAAAAATATGATCAAATTTATTTGGAGTTACCGCAGTATTTGATTCCATTTTGTTGTGAATACTACCATTATTCGCGTAAATAGAAGAAAATTTATCATTGTTTTTTTTTGTTTGTTTGTTTTTGCTTTTTGTTTTTTAATAATATCACTCCAAGATAGGCGATAATGTCAGTAGGATTGAAGGGATTACTGGAAGAGAATGAGAATTAGCGAAGAGAAATAAAGGAATAGGTTTCCGGAAGACTGAAGATCTCGATTGACATTGCATTTAAATTTTAAAGATTTTTGGTATCAGCGTAAAAAGAAATCTGAAGAGAGTTCTACAGGTGAGAAGTGCGAGAAAAGAAACTATTAAAATAGAAGAAATTTTAAGAATAGAACTTACGGTTACGTCTTTAAATAGTAAAATGATGAAACCTGGAAGCGAAGACAGCTTAATGCTTAAATTTATTGTGGCGAGGCACCAAAGGTGAGAGCAAAATTTATTTTGCAAATATACAAAAGTGTGGCACAACGCCAAAAGGGTGGATGGGGAAAGGCTGGTCTTCCTTTGTCTTACAGTTAAACCTCACTAACCACAATTACTGACCCAAACATACCACAGTATTCCTTAGATCAAAACAACACATTCTTACCATTCTTATTACATCCATCATAATATCTAAAAGTCTCTATGAGGTCCTAACTAGTTCCCATATGTACAATTTTTGTCAGTGGGGAGGAGGAATAAAAACAACGAAGGAGAGAGCTCAAAGGAACAACTGTCTTGAAAATATTTATAGTCAATTATTACTGAAACTACAGCAGAACCACTTAGCAAGGTTTGGCTGTAGCCCTATGATCCACAGAAAGTCTATAGATTCAAGAAGAATTGTACTTATAAAATCAAAATGTTTGTGTTGTTGTTCAATTTGCTTATGTCTGTAGATAAAAATAAAATTCAGATTATAATCGATCCTATGCTTTTTTTTCCTATAATAATAAAAAATTACAATAAATTAGAGTAAATATTTTAATCCATCTATTAATTTAATCCTCCATCAGTATCACGAATCATTATCATATTATTAGTACCGTGCTAATTTCAAAGATTCGATTTAAAATATAGATAGTTCTTCATTTTCTTGTTAGATATTGTCTTCAGTGTTCTTTCTGCTTTTATAGGATAAATAAAAATGAAAAATAGAATTAAAAGGCCAATATTAAAAATTATTCGTGTTTAACATGTACGTCCACAAGGGCAAAATAAGGAAACTATATTGATTCGAAACGGTAAGTTATTTAGAGGCCTAACTAACTAAAAATTATATTACTGCTAATTATTATATAACTAAAAAGGCATGTCTAAAAATCTGAAAAAATAGAAAAATCACTCAATTAGTATTATGAGATACACTCGGAAACGCCTAAATAAACAAAATTGCTTGTAATTCACTCAAATAACAAACCAAAAACTCATTGGAGTTACTTGACAAAGGTATTTAAAAAAAAGTACTTGACTATTCATGAAAATTTATTTTGTTATTTGGTAATTAATAAGAACAAAAGATCTCGTGTTTTCTATATTCTTTGTTCCTCTTATTTTATTGTTCTCTCGCCTCAACCCTTTGAGCCTTGCGTTCATGAACAATTTTAACCTTTCTGCCTGAGCTCCTGAGTCAAAATTCGCAAATAATTGGTATGTAATGTTTCACAGTAGATATAAAAATAGTTACAAGTGTTTACCCACCGTTTAACCAGTGGCTGGACATTAAGTCATTTACCCACTGTTCAGCAGATGGACGTTCGGTGGAGTAATTGATAGCGGCTCGGATTAAGGAATCGGGGAGCCGAGTTCGAATTCCTGTCGAATCTATTCACTTAGGTGCTAATGCTTCTTCTTCTCCCCCACCCCAAGCTATGGATAAGTAGCAGGATAGATCTTGGATGGCAACTGGTCTACTGCAGAAAGAAGTGGTAACCTACTGCGGGAAAAATGTCTCGTCAGTCACATATCGAAAGATATATGATCTACTAAGCGTGTATCACGCATGACACATAACTGACTGTTTAACAGGTGGCTGAGCATTACGTCATTTTTCTCTACCACTGTTAAAGCGGTAGTAGTTTTTTTTCTTTTTCTTTCACACTCAGTAATCCCCTACGTCTTAGTGACCTTATCGCATTGCTTGGGGTGAAATGATTAACAAAATGTCCCTTCATGACGTAGGTTATTATGACTCTCCACAGATTTAATTTTCCGTATTATATGTGAAATGCCATGCCTTCTTGGGAAATATAAAAGTCTGCTTTGCCATTGTTTTCTCTATTGTTTGGAATTTCGATTTTCTTCCTTTTGCTATTTAACCCATAGCTAGTCGGGATGTGGAGAAGAGACAGTGGTTCGTGTCTTTCCCAAGGCCATTGGTGTAAAAGTGAATGCAGCAGACTAACCCGGAATTTTACACGATCAGAACATAACCATTATATCAAGAAATCGTTTCCTCTCGTGTTTTTTTCCTGTCTTTCTAGGAGGGATTTTTAAAACTTCCCAACCGAAGTTAACTCTTTTCCAATTTACTGAAGTGGGTTCCTGCAAATATTAGATAATAAGGCAGCTTCACTTTATATGACATTTTCCACATATTTTCTTTTCTTTTTTTTATGTGACGTCTCTCTTCAGACGTGGGCGATCATGGCCATCCACATCTTTCTATCATTTATAGTTATTTATTTTTTTACTGTCTCCCCATTCCCTGTTCTGCCATTCATTTGCACAAGTTTATTATGTAGATTATCGCTGTTTCCCTCTGACTTTCTTGGTTTCAATATGTCCCCTGAGTGTCAAATTCTCCAAGCTCCCTTTCCTCCTTATGTATCGCAACTGTCACTTTTTAAACATGTCATTATAGTATTTCAAAGTTTAACACTCGCCCACCTACCGTCATTAAATGATAAAGTCTTTTCTATCAAATAAGACACATTAGTGAATTTCCCGGCAAGTAAGAAAATCGCAAACATTGAATATATTAAGTTGGAACAAATGCTCGTAGGTGGCGTTTAAACACGTGATTCCGTTTCACACGTAACTGAAATGTAGATATTTCACATCGTCTTTCTGTGCGATACGTCTGTGAATTGGGAAATTGAAATGCTTTTACATTAAAGAGTAAAATGAGGAAAATTGAGTATTTTCTTCATTTGACGTTCTTTTATTTTCGCGAAGGAAAAAAATGATATTCAAAAAACGTATGTGCCATTTATGTTGATGGTGCCATAAGGAGAGTCCTTTTTATAAAAGTATCGCTAGTTTCATGTGGAAATTTTCATTTGGAAAACCAAGGATGTCTCAGCAGACATGCAGTCATTGATGCTGACCAAATTTAAACACTGACTAAAAATAATCGAGATAATTCGAGACAGAACATTGCAGAGATATTACATGAACGTCATAAGGCATTTGAAAAAAAAAAGAATTGCTATGATGTTTTGGAGGACCGGATTTCCATTTGCAATTCTTTGCCCAAACGCAACAACTGACCCATTTATTTTTTCCAAAGAACGATCACAAGCGATGAAAAACGGAATGTTTACAACAATGTGGAATGAACAAGAGGTCCTGGAAAAAACGAAATGAGCCAGTATTAACCACTGCATCCGAAAAATTAAGCTATGTATTTGGTGGAATCGAAAGGTCAATGTCTATTATAAGTTTCTCCGTCAAAATCAATCGTCCTGGGTATGACAATAAACTACATCCGGTAGCAAGGCCTCTGATCGAGAGATTGGGGGTTTTGACGAGAGTAAAACTAATTCTTGCTTGCCGACCCGAGGTAGTAGTACCTGTTACAGGAAAATGGTCTTTATTGTAGTTCACTAAAAAAGTATTTTAAAAAAAAATTTGGGTAAGAATACCAGGAATATATTTATAAAAAAAATGACTATTAGCAATAACTATTTATAGCAGAATGACAATGAATACAGCACTAAAGTATAAAATACAGTTTTATGGTAAAATTACCATCAATACATCTACAAACTATATATCTAAAAAAAACATACGTTGGTCCTTAAAGTATAAATTTATGTACAAATTATTATCTGTAGTTGAAGACATAAAATTGCGTACAAAATATTTAGATTCAGCATTAAATAACCGATAGAGGTTGATATTTCGCTAAACAAAAATAAACCAACCAAACCGCAAAATCAAACGTTAAATTTAGACATCTACTGTTCCCAATTGGAGCGATCGATTAAAGGCAGCAATCAATGAAATGTTATCTAGAAGTGGCCAATATAAAAGGGTTTCATATTCAGTCAAGACAACACCAGACCTCACGTCTCTTCGCAGACACGGTAAAAATTGGCTGAGACATCCGCTGTCGACACTTGAATATATAGCTTATAACCATATCGCGTTAAAACACCGGTTCCCGTACGATCACAGAAGTTAAACAACATTGACCCTCTTCAGTACCAAGATGGGTGACCGCTTGGCAATATCAGATGCTGTAAGCTGGTGATTTAATGGATAACTTCTCTGAATAGGAAATTAGGGAGACGCTATATTCACACTGGGGAGAGGGGCATGAATACGCCTCTACTCCCCCACTTATAGGTTAAATAGTAAGACTAAACCATTACCTCAACAACAAAATTCTTACAATCTAAAAATATTTTCTGGCTTTAAATAACCTGCAAAAGGGTTGATAAGCCGTAGAAAACGAATCAATCAATCAGTCAATTGGATTTCAACTTTGGATTACCACTTATTTCGATCCCCACGAAATTCTCCTAATGGAAAAAAAATCTTCGGTTCACTTGAAGCCGTTAAAAACCACTTCGACTAATTCATCAACCAGAAATATGTCAAGTGCTGGGAGAATGCATTTATGAATCTACGTCAGAGTTGACAAAACATAGTGGAAGAAAATGACATATACAGGGTACGATTGTTAATTTGCCATCAGTTTATATTTTTAATTTCGCGCATGCGCGTTGTTTGTTTTTGATTATGTCGACTGCAAAGTATATTAGGGTCAGTTGAGCACCCTCTGTAAGAAAAAGAACACCATGACACAATTCACTGCGGCAGAAATTTGGAAACGACATGAGTACTAGAAGCTCCAATGCGAACATTTCAGAGTATTTGAGTGTCAATCCGAGAGCAGTGCAGAGGATTCGGAAAGAGTTGGATGAGTCTAATAGTGATTACGAAGGTACGACAGTTCGGAAAGCTTGTTCTGATAAGAAAAGAACTCCCGAATGTGTTGGTGATGCCCTCAAACTCAACACGGAAGCCTACATCACGTGCCTTGAGGAGGTAGTGCTGGCCTGGATCAAAGGGGTGGCTATTGGAAGACCTCATGTTTTGCAACAGGACTCTTTACCGTGCCACACAAGCAAGAGAACCCATTCATGGCTGTCAAACAATTTCTGCGACCACATCAATCCTTACATCTAGCCACGCAGCTCCTCGGACTGAAACCCCCTTAATTATTATATGTCGGGCAAAGTTGATCAAGAGACCAACAAAACTCCTTGTAACACCAAAGATGATTTGAAGACAAGGATAATGGCAGCAATCACCAACTAAAACAAGGAGACCGTCCAGAACGGAGATTCCGAAGATTCCGAAATCGTCTTAAGATCGTGGTTGGAGCCAATGACGTTTTTATTGAATAAATGTACTATTTAGTATTTCAAGATATTTTTGTTTAATTTTGGTAAATATATTCGTCAAAATGAGATGTCGATGCTATTTTCATTTTTGCGTAATTTAGACAATTTATCCATCGCACCCATTATATGGTTCAATGTACAACTATTTAAATATTGTCTTTGAAAGTCACTTAAAAACATTACGAAGTCTTGTTTCAAAGCAATATTTGGAGGAACTGTAGAACGTAAATGAACCAGTGTCAATCCATTTATCCATCCACCTTCCTTGGGCCCAATGCTCGATGGTGTCAAAAGCATATTGGATAAACGCTCTCCAGTGGTAACAAACATAATTGTTGAAATCTATCATGTTTTTGTTTTACAGGTATAGCATCTACACATAGTTCTGACTTGGTATCTCGGCTTCTGTGACTTTCCATCCGCCGTAACATAGCTTCCTGTGCCCTTTCTCTCTCTCTCTCTCTCTCTCTCTCTCTATATATATATATATATATATATATATATATATATATATATATATATATATATGGTAATAATTCTGAGCTTCTTTGGTACCTTGATTTTAAGGTTAGTACTAGTTTGGCGATAAGGTCTCATCATTTTACATCTAGATGCAACCATACGTTAACAGTTTCTTCTCTCGCACTTCTCGCTTGTGGAACTCTCTTTACTTTTCTTACATTCTATTCAATTTTGATCTTCAAAAATGTAATTGCAATGTCAATCGTTATCATCCGTCTTACTAATACCTGTTCTTTTACTGTTCACTCTCCTTAATAGCTTTTTTTCATATTTTTTACACTCCATAACCCATTGAGGCTTTATTGTCTTGCTTGGAGTGAGATGATTAAAAAGGATATCCCATATCTAACAATCTTTATACAGCTTCAGGTAGATAGGTTTGAATTTAGAGTTGACCATCTCTTAAACTGATTGCCATCCATAACTAAAGAGCTCAGTCAGTGCTGCTATTTAACCCATAAGTGAGGGATTCATACCTTTTCTAAAGACATTCGTGTGAAGTCTACCAGAATTTGAACCCAGCTTTCTGCTTTTTCATTCCGAGACGTTAACCATTACATGCAGATCCAATATATTTCCCTATATATTATTGTTATTATTATTCTGAATTAATTTTAAACACGCGATGTTTTCCCGTTCACCTTATCAGCATTTATTGTTATTTTCTCTGTTGTTGGAACAGGGGTCATGTTCCACTTGTTTTGTTGATCTTGCAATGTCATTATTTTCCATCCTAAACGGGCCGGTCGCCATCAAGCACTGAACGACCTCAAGAACCGGAAACGCTTCCTTATTGACTAGATGAAAACGTG